ATTTAAATGTTTAGACCCAACAGACTTGTCCAAGAGTGTCAGCAGCAAAGTGAGGAACAGAGCCAAGGGCCTTACAGGCTAGTCCTGACTTTATTCACTAACACGCATGCCTCCCTATCTTGAAATCACTTCCAGCTGGCTCACATTGATGCTGCATCCATTACCTTGCTGAAGGGGAACAGGATGAAACTAAAGGCCAGGGATATTCATCCTAGAGAACAGAAGTTACTCAGCTCAGTTTCCAACACAATATACCAATACCACAAACACATTATTCAAACTCTTCCATGGCCATAGTATCTAAGCATCTGGCAATCACTCCTGGATTGTAACCTCCTTACAAGGATTGTGACCCCCCATCTGTGAATGGAGCGAAGGCAGTGCTGTTATCCTCCATTCACAGATGGGGACCTGAGAGGCAGAGCTGTTAAGACCTATAGGAAGTCAAGAACTTAGACCTCTCTGTTCCTAAGTCAGTGCTTTATATATTACCCTGCCTTAATGCTCACTAAGCCCCTAGAGACTATTCCCCCTCCCCAGGATTCCCCAACATGCCCTCGGCGTGGTCTCACCATCACTGTAGTCCTTGCGGCTCTGGGAGAGGTGGTATTGCCTAGGGAAAGTGCCACCTTTTCCAAATCTTTCACAAAATGGAATATCAAAATCTGGAAGGAGATAAAGAGGAAAGTGGTTATTAGATTAACTCAGCACTGAACGTGTAAGAGGTTTCTCTACTGCTTCCATAGCAGTATCTAGAGCCCTACCAAGAAGCATGACCCGCCTGTCTACTCTCTTTCCACATGTGCTAGACCCCAAAATGGGGCAGTGAAGCTACCCCAAGGGCCTTCCCTCCTAGCCACTTCTCTTGACAACTCCATCTCCAGCATGATTGAGATTAGGGGCAGGTGTGTGCACTCAAGGTGGCTTCACTGCCTAATTTTGGGGGTCAGTATGTGCAAAGCAGACCTTGCTCAAAGAAGACCCGTCCTTTATACTAGCTGACAGTGAAAAACCAGGTTAGAGATGGCCCCATCATGGAAGGCATTCATTCACAAGGCTCTGGGCTGAAACCTCCCAAGATCAGACAACTGGACACCAACCCAGCTCTAACAGAAATTATTGGCCAAAAGGCCTGGTGCTGACTACACTGAAGCCAGTGGAGGCTTAGCCAAAAACTTCAAGGAGAGCAAAATCTGGCCTACAACGTTTAAAGGCTCAAGTACCTGGTTAACTCTCATGGCTTGGGACCATCCCCTGTTGCTGCCTCTTTCCCAGGTAGCTCTGATGTCCTTGGAGGCTGCAAGTCACTGAGAAGAGCCTCTCCAGAGAGAATGCCTGTCTCTCCCCCATCCCCATCTCTTGTTTCTCTCTCCTTCAAGCATTTTCCTGGCCTCCTCCATTGCTCTTCCTCTCTACTCCACCCCAGTCCTTTCCCAAATACTCTGAGATTCCCCTTCTGGCTAGCTTCCTCTTTACACTCTAGTGCCTTAACTCTCCTGTCTCCCCTCACACAGGGCCATCAGACTTGCATTATACAGATTAGTCTCCTTCTTTCCCAGGAGGCTAACATCGGCTGGGATGATTTCGATGGAAAGCAACAGAGTTGAACCTTACAGACTAACTCAATTAGAGATGCACAGGTTTTTGCAAGCAGCTTACTTCATCGTGGGACTGCAGGGAACAGAGCTTCTAAACAGAAAGCAGTCATTTGAGAGTGAAGAGGGAGGAAAAGGGAAAAGGCGCTGGTGAGGGAGGCAAAGGTGGTAGAAGAGAGAAGAAACAAACAGTTAACTTACTGAGGACATTGGGGTTTTAACTGCTAATCCCGGTATGAGAATAAGACACTGTAGTACCTGTTTAGACCAAACTTTGCACAATCCAATCTGTGGATGATTTCAGCCAGATGGAGTCAGGCCTCAAGGCCACCGACCCCAGGTCTCCATGATCTGAGAGACCACAGCCAACGTGGAAAATGCAAGATCCTGGCAGGTGGCAGATGTGAAATAACCTGTGCACATATGAACCCATCATGTGGACCGCTAAGAGCCGAAGGCTGGCTTAAACCCTGAACCAGGAAGGTCTTCATATTTACATCAACCGCCACACATTAATATTAGCTTGGATGGAAGAGAGCAAAGAGGACAAACGCTAAGATCAGGCAACAGGACTTTGATATTACTAGGGAAGAAAATAAGACTCTCTATAAGAATAGTAAGAGTATTGCTGGAGGGGCTGGATGTGTTTAAGTCAGCCGGCCTGGATGATCTTCATCCAAGGGTGCTGAAGGAATTGGCTGGTGTCATAGCAGAGCCACTGGTACAGCTGTTTGAGCACTCGTGGTGTTCAGGTCAGGTCCCAGAAGACTGGAAAAGGACCGATGTGGTCCCCATTTTCAAGAAGGGGAGGAAGAAGGATTCAGGTAACTACAGACCAGTTAGTCTCACCTCTATCCTTGGGAAAACCTTTGAAAAAATTATTAAGGATCACATTTGTGAGAGTCCAGCGGGGAAAGCAATGCTAAAGGCAACCAGCATGGATTCATAGCAGGTAGATCTTGCCTGACTAACCTGGTTTCTTTTTATGAACAGGTCACAAAATGCTTAGACTCAGGAATCGAGGTGGATGCCTACTTGGATTTTAAGAAGGCCTTCGATACGGTATCTCATTATATTCTCATAGATAAACTGAGCGACTGTGGAGTAGATGGTTACATGGTCAGGTGGGTGGCAAACTGGCTTAGGGGTCACACCCAGAAAGTGGTGGTGGATGGGTCGGTATCGACCTGGAAAGATGTGGGCAGTGGAGTCCTGCAAGGTTTGGTCCTTGGACTGGAGCTATTCAACGTCTTCATTAGTGGCTTGGATGAGGGTGTGAAAAGCACTCTGTCCAAATTCACAGATGATACCAAATTATGGGGTAAAGTTAACACACCAGAGGGTAGGGAACAAATTCAGGAGGATCTGGACAAGTTGGAAAAATGGGCAGAACAGAATATGATGCAGTTCAACGAGGATCAACAAGGACAAGTGCAAGGTGCTGCACCTATGAAGAAGGAATCACCAACACGCTTACAGGCTGGGGGATGACCTTCTCAGCAGCGGAAAGGGATCCTGGAGTCAACTGTTGACTCCAAGATGAACAAGAGTCATCAATGTGACAAAGTGATCAGCAAAGCTAACTGCACTTTATCATGCATTAGCAGGTGCATGACAAACAGGTCCAAGGAAGTGATACTTCCCCTTTACAGAGCATTGGTCAGGCTGCCGTTGGAGTACCGTGTCCAGTTTTGGGCACTGCACTTCAAGAGGGATGTGGACAGCATCGAGAAGGGCCACTCATATGGTTAGGGGACTGCAGGAAAAGCCCTATGAGGAGAGATTGAGGGCCCTGGATCTCTTCAGCCTCTGCAAAAGAAGGCTGAGAGGTGATCTTGTGGCAGTCTACAAATTCATCAGGGGAGGGCAGCAGGGAATAGGAGATGCTCTGTTCACCAGGGCACCTCTTGGAGTAACTAGGAACAATGGCCACAAACTGACAGAGAGCAGATTTAGGTTAGACGTCAGGAAGAACTTCTTCATAGTAAGGGTTGCCAAAATCTGGAATGGGCTTCCAAGGGAAGTGGTGCTCTCCCCTACCTTGGGGGTACTGAAGAGGAGGCTGGACATGCACCTGGCTGGGGTTGTCTGACCCCAGCGCTCCTTCCTGCTCAAGGCGGGGTGGGGCGAACTCGATGATCTGCTAAGGTCCCTTCCGACCCAAACATCTATGAATCACATGGGCGTGCAGGGAGAAAATTAGGAAGGCAAAGGCACAATTTGACATGCAAGTGGCAAGGGACAGAAAAAGGCCAAAAAAAGGGATTGTACAACTATGTCAAGAGTCAGAGAAAGACCAGAAACCACAGGTCCCTTACAGAATGCAGGAGGCAATCTAGTTATGGATGATGCAGAGAGGGCTGAAGTATTTAATGCCTCTTTTACTTCATTCGTCACAAAGAGAGGGAAGCTATCAGATGACTGCAGTTGGTAGCAAAGCTAGGGAAGGAGATAAACAGTCCTGAGTGATGGAAGAACAGGTTAGGGATTACTTAGAGAAGCTAGATACTTTCAAGTTGGCAGGGCTGGATGGGATGCACCCGAGGGTACTCAAGATATTGGCTGAGGTAATTTCAGAGACATTGGCTAGCCTCTTGGAGTAATCACAGAAGTTGGATGAGATCCTGGATGATTGGAAAGGGGCAAATATAGTGCCCATCTTTAAGAAAGGGACACAGGAGGATCTCAGGAATTACAGATCAGTCAGTCTGATCTTGATACCTGGTCAAACCATGAAGCAGGTCCTCAAGGAAGCACCTAGAAGAGAACAAGGTGATCAGGCACAGCCAGCCTGACCAAGAGCAACCTGACGAGCCTTCACCAAAAGCAAGTCACGCTTGATCATCAACCTGATTTCCTTCTATGATAAAGTGACAGGCTCTGGGGATAGGGAGAGACCAGTGAATGTGATATAACTTGACTTTAGCAAGGCCTTTGAAACGGTCTGCCATGCCATGGACATTAACAAGGTAAGGAAATACAGACCAGGCCAAAGAATGGTAAGGTGGATATATACCTGGTTGGATCATCGTACTCAATAAGTAGTCATCGATGGCTCAAATTTTAGTTGGGAGGAAGTACCAAGTGGGTTCCCAGGAGTCTGTCCTGGGGCAAGTATTGTTTAATATCTTTATTAATGATTTCAATGATAGGACTGAGTGCATGCTTAGCAAAATCTGTGGATGACACCAAGCTGGGTGGAGCTGCAGACACTTTGGAGGGTAGGGCCATGATCCAGAATGACCTGGATAGACTGGAAGAACGGTCTGCAATCAGTCAGATGAGATTCAACAAGAACAAGTGCAAAATCCTGCACTTGGGACAAAATAACTGTATGCACAAATACAGACTGGGAAATTACTGGCTAGGCTACAGTACTGCAAAGAAGGATCATGGAGCTGCAGCGGACCATAGCTTAAATACCAGCTAGAGTGATCTTTGTGCAAAAAAGGTCAACATTATACTGGGTTATATTAACATGAGTGTCAGTTGTAAATGAAAAGGAAGCAACTTTTCCACACTATTCACCACTGGTGAGGCATCACCTGGAGTACTGTGTCCAGTTTTGGGCCCCACACTTCAAGAAGTACATGGCCAATTTGGAATAGTCCAGTGCAGAGCAACAAAAATGATTAGGTGCCCAGAAGGCAAGGTTTATGAGGAAAGGCTGAAAGAACCAGGATTATTCAGCCTGGAGAAAAGAAGACTGTAGGGGGATTTGTAAGAGTCTTCAAAGACCTGAAGGACGATTAGAGGATGGAGACAGGCTTTTCTGTGTAGCCTTAAGGGACAGGACAAGGAGCAATGGACTCAAGCTGCAACAGAGGAAGTTTAGTTTGGAGATTTGGAGGCACTTTCTGACTATGAGGGTGGTCAAGTATTGGAACAGGCTGCCTAGAGAAGTGGCGAAATCTCCATCCCTGGGAGTTTTCAAGAGCAGGCTGGACAAATGCCTGGCTGGGATGATTTTTCCAGGGATGACCCTGCTTTGAGCAGGGGGCTGGACTACTTGACCTTGTGAGGTTCCTTCCAGCCCTTCTTTCTTATGATCTTACAGCTGAGACAAGCACTAGATGGAGAGGGATCAGGAAATATCTGATGAGGAGAACAGGAAGCCACCACTGGTAGCCTAGAACAGGGGATTAAAAAGCCTTTGTCGTCCCCCCTCATTTTCCCTTCCTGTTTCTGCTCTATCCTAGTCTGACTACACGGCCCATTCTGAATGCTTGTTTGTCTTAGCTGTGAGCCAGCAGCTGCTCCTTGGAGGCCACTTCTGGCTTCAGTCTCACTTCAGCTCATCTTGACCATTACTCCAGCTCAGGCGAGAAGCACAAGCCCGGCTGAAACCCAGGCAGCAAAGCTTCTGTGTCAGGTCAAGAGGCTCACGGCACGCCACGTGCAAGCACTGGGAAAGGCACTGGGGGCCTATTAAAACACCAGTGACAGGCACTGGTATGGGAGCTCAAATTCCACGGTTTAATCTGCAAGTGCTGCCTCAGGCCAAAAATGTGTTATCATCCCCTCGGCCGAACGCCATTAGTTCATTTTTAATAGTGAAAGTCATGACAATATGATGAAGTTTCCATGACTTAACCAGCTGGGCATTTATGCTTGGCTAAGCACTAAGTGAAGGTTCTTGTGGGCTATCTATATGTTTTTCTTAAACATACTGACTGTCTCTCTTATTAATGCAAATGGAGATCCACTGCAACATGAGACACAAGAAGGTGAAAGTAAACTCTGGCTAGAAACAACAGGTGAATTGCACAAGGTTATTTCTATCTTCCAAATGGAGCGAAATGCAAGGAGCAAGGAAAGAGGCAAGCAGCATGGCTCAGTCCTGAAGAGACCATTACTGGATGGTGGAGGACTACTTCCAACTTCACACTTCAGCTTTACAGCTCTTGGGCGCAGAAGTGAACGGACTCCAGAATCAGCCCCGGGGAGAGCTGGCTCATGCTGGCTGGCAAATTTGCAAGGATCCATCAGAGTAGCAAGCATTATGCATCAGCACTGCTAGGTTCTTAAATTTTAAAATGGCTTCGGGTCTAACAGCTGCAGGGGCCGTTCACTAGCTAAGCAGTGAAGGCACTGGTTTGCTGCTGATTGTTTTTATCCCAGAATCTTCTATTTTCCTTGACAGACATGTAGGTTTGAAAAGGCCACTTTGCTGCAATGTAGACATGCTGATAAATCCCAAGTAACCTTACCCAGGCAGTCAAGGCTGTCTTTGGGCTGACTCTTCCTTCTTGAAACAGGAGTTTGGGTGTAGGGTGGGCTGTGGGGAAAAAACACAAAAAAGAACGCACTTACTTTATCAGATGACATCTATAGCGATCAGCATCACTCCTACATTCAATCGACACCCATCTCACTACTTTCAATAGGCAGGAAGCGCTGGACCAGTATTAGGCAAGCTTCCCTCATCAGGCCACCACCCAGCACTGCTCTTAAACATATGCTTATCATTACCCAGGTGCACCAAGCTGAAATACTTGGGCACATAAAGTTAAGCTTGGGTTGTGCTGGACAGGACCCTCGCTGCCCAGTGTGTGCACCAGATGTGAGCCAAATGAGGCAGGGCTCTTGTAGAGAAAAGGCAAGAATACTAGCTGTTGTGGTCTGAATGCCAATACCAGTGTCTGCAACTTAACATTGCCTTTTAACATTACCCACCTTGAGTTGTGCTTACACAGCTCAATAAGGGCTCCCTTTCCCATCTCATGTTGCTGAGGAGCTACTTGCTTCCTTCTTTAAAACCTCTGTGAGGTGCTGAGTCCCTCCAACCCCCACTAGAATAAGCATGAGCAGAGGATACTCAGTGCCTGAGAGACGTAGGCCCTTAATCGAGGCCCAGAGGATTAGGTCCTGCACTGGGACTAGGCAGACCCAAGCCCCATTCCTGGCTTGGCCACTGGCCTGCTGAGTGACCTTGGGCAGGTCACCTCACTGCTCTGAGCCTCAGTTTACCTTTTCAGACTACATACAGGATAATTAAGGTGACTGCAATCATTTGAGGGGAATCTGAGACCAGTGGGAGGACACCAGCATGTGTGCATACACACCCCCAAACGCCATATGCGCACGCACACACACACAGATCCCAGAAGCAGGGCTGAGCAGGACAGCACCGCACTGCACATATGCATGCGCGCACGCGCACACACACACACACACACAGTCCTGACCCCTGGATGTGTGCGCACACAGCCCCAGCTGCACAGTTCCCCACATGCACCCCTCCCCTGACCCTGACTGTGCTGTGCAAGTGACTCTGCTTCAGCCCAGCAGAGTCCAGACCAGGCAGCAGCCCACTGACTGGGCTCCCTGGACAAAATTAAAGCAAAAGTCCCAGATTGGCATGAACCTGCAAGTACATGCCCAGCTCCTGACTCAGGAGCTAGAGGTGCGAGTGGGTCCCCACCAATCCAGGGGTTTTGCTTCAATTTTTTCCAATGGCCGGGATGCTGAGACAGCCTCTGAAATCCAGGACTGTCCTGGCCAATTCAAGACCCTAGGGATAATGGCCTCCCTCTCTGGCACAGCACTGTGAAGTTTGCGGAAAAGCAGCCCTGTGTGGGACTCCATTGTCGTCATTCTTGCTTTTGCTTTCAGGGAAAATCAGAGCTGATTGCCAAGCATTTCCCACCAGCAGGCTGATTTCGCTTCCTCCTACGACTGCCACAATACAAGCAGCCCTGGACAATGCCGTCTTGAGACTCTGACAGTACAACCTTGATTGCTGAAATAATCCTCCCTGCCTGGCAATCTCCTTGCCTTGAATTGTGCAGGCATCTGCAGATGGCTTCCCTGAGCTTCCATTCTCAAGATCACTGTGCTGCAGGGTGCTGCTGCTGCCTTCTCGGACACAAACCTTCTGCAAGCACCCGCTTTGCTCCAAAAGCCAGAAAAATAGTTAGGCCGTGTGTCCTGCGTTGCTGCTACAGGTGAAACCTAGTTTGACTCTGGCCAAATCAGACAATAGCAGATAGCCTAGGAGAAAGGGAGCCTGTTTTGGATGTGCAATGGTGCCAGCAGGACTAATACCAAAGGCACAAACCATTAAATGGAAATGGAGATTGAGGTAGAGCCAAAACCTGCAAAGCTCAAGAACTGAAGCACACAGTGCAGCCTGTCCCCTACAAAGGGGCCCTATTGTTCTGCAATGCAAATGCTGCAGGTGACAACCAGCAACAGGAAGCTAAACACCAATGTGGAGTAAAAGAAATGGCTTCCCAAAAGACAAGGGCATTACGCTAACCTGCCCCCAGGCAAGGCATAAACCATGTGGGGCCTGCATGGCACTGACAGCATTAACTGGTGACCTGGCACAGGGCAGCAAGCAGGTAAGGTGCCTTGCTATTGCTCCCCAGGCATGTGTTTGAGCATCACTTTGGACTCATGCCAACAGCTACCCCTGCTTGATTCAGCTGCAAATAGTCACTGAGGCTGGGAAGTCGAAGGCAGCTGGATGTGATGCTAGCTGGGCTGCTGGCTATAGAAACCACACTGGCCCAGCAGCCCATTGGAGTCAGGCAGACAGACTCTTTCCTCTGACCTGCAGCTCACTTAGCACAATGTGTCCTAGTTGCTTCCTGAAGAGGTGCTAAACTTAGCTGTTTCCTTCAGCGTCCTTGCAGGGAAGTATATGCGTTAGACACTCAATTTACCAGGGTCACGCAAGAGCATGTGGAAAGGGGAGGGGAGAAGACAGCGAATGGATGAAACCTCTTTGAATCCAATGACTACAAATGCCAGAGGGGCAAAAGGGGAAAAGGATCTTCTGAGGCAAGGCCAAGCTGGTCACCTCACCCTCTGCCAGTGCAGGACCATCCCTGCCAACATGCTCCCAGAGCCTCACTCCACTCACATGGCCTCCATCACTTCTCTGGGGAGACTACGCCACAGGCTAGCGGCACTCTCAGCATTACAGTAGATTTCCTGGCATTCAGTCCAAGTGGTCTCCAAGCTTTGGTATGTCTCATTACTCCTTCTAACCCCCAGGGCCATCTTAACCTCTCTCCTCTCTACACAACTGTGAGGAAGGGTTCCCCACTCAAGCAGGTGGTGACAGGCTAGACTTACCTGTCCACAGATCTGTCCAGAGACTGACAGCTCCCAGAGAGCGAATCGTCGGGGCTCAAGAAAGCATCAAGCATCTGTGAAGAGCAAAGAAAATGGGAAACAAAAGAGAAAAGTGAATCCTTCCACCTTGAGTTGTAAAAGTTTGGCTAAAACACTCCAGGTGCTGAACGGGGATAAAGGCATGCAGCTCCAAAATCATCCAGCTTACACCCATGGGTGGAGTCTGGCCCTGTACGTGTTACCTCACCTAAGAGAGCACCTCAAAGCATTTGAAAGTAATTAAGCTCTTCTATGAGGTTGGAAGGGGCTATTATTCTCTGCAATCATCATACGCCAACAGGGAAACTGAGGCACAAGTGATTCACCCCTGCAGCTTTCAAACATGCCAGGCATCGAGGAGGTGCACATGCTCGACACCTTTGAAAAAATCAGAGCACGTGTGATTTTAGCCTAGGCCACAGAGCTTGACTATGGCTCAGGAAGGAGGGGAGACCCAACATCACAACATCCACAACCGCAAAACCGTCCTTCCCCTTGGCTGAATTGAGGAGTGGACTTCGGTCTCGCCAAGATGGTGAGTCAAATGCTGTATACGCGTGGCTTCCTGGATGAGATATTTGACTGGGTTGGGTTATTTATAGCTAGTTATTCACAATAGAAGGGCTGTACTGGCTGGCCTGGTGCGCCCACAGATACACACACTTCCACTTACAATGGAGTCCTCTCTGGGCCACCCAGCAGCAAAATCATCACTGTGCTACAACAAAGCACCAATTAACCCTCAGCACCCTGTGGAGGTAGGTGCTGGCCGCAGCCTTCTGTAGGGGAAGCCAAGGCAGGGAGGTGAAGCGACTTGGCCAGAAGCATGGAGAAAGCTGGTCTCAGAGCTGGGATTAACATCTAGAAGGGAGCTCAGTCCCAGGGTACCCCGACATGCTTCCCTTTCTATGGGACGTCCTTATAGTTACGCCTGTTAATTAGTTGTCACAGCAACACTCATTGTTTTGGCAGAAGCAGCCCCAAGAGACACTGTAATTTTCTTGGCTTCTCATTTTCACCCCAAAGGCTGATGCATCATTGCAGGAACCCAGCCAAGGAGGCAGGACCTTTCCTCTGAGTCCATGATTGGCATTGCAAACTGGGGGCTTACAGGGTCACTGGGGGCCTCGGGGAACTCTCTAGCAGAGGTCCAAGCATGCCATCTTCAAGGTGCTCTTGTTCCCTATGAGCACAGCGGAGCTGACAGTCTGAACTGGGAGCCTCATTCTGGCTCCGCTAATCTACCATGGTTATGGCCCCCAGCTACTGCTGCGCTGGCCCCAGGGTCAATGTTACAAGGAGCTAGAGGGTGGTGCCAGCCCCCTGGATGCCATCAGCGAGCTGGCATGGACCAGCGCCGTGCCGTAAAGCTAATGGCCCTACATTACTTTACCCCAGCTGAGGTCCAGCCCAGGGCCCCATCTTCCCCTTTGTCTTTGCCTGCTTGAGCACAGTTCAGAAACTTTCTGAACAAGGCAAGCCCAGCTTTTGGCTGCCAGAAGCACAAGAGATATCTGTGCTCAGATGCTGCCAAGACTCACCCAGAGTGGCTTTTATTTTATTAATGGCCATATAATAAACGCCTGAAAACACAACTTTGCCATGGAAACGTTGGCACAGCCTTCGCAACACTGCTGCTAGCGGGTGCCTTCACAGTGCACAACATGCCCTTCTTTGCATACGGTCTCTTCTACAGGGATATGTATGCATCCTCTCGCTTACGGTAGCAGCCCCCCTTGGAGGTTCAGCCATGTTCTGGACAGCTTTAAAGGCAGGGCAGCACCGGGACCCCCCACCTGCACAGTCAGGGCTCCCCAGAGGTTTCCAGCCCAGATCATGTACTTTACCAGAGTCTCACACCCTGATCCCGGAAGAAAGTCCATGCCATGCTGGGACCAAGATGGTCCCATGGACTTCACATGGGCACTGGGCTCCAGCTGCAGCAAGCCAGTCATCGGGCTAGCATTCAAGCTGCTCTAGTGAAGGGGTGCTCAAGCCCTGGCCCGTGGCCCTGTGTCATCCAGTCTGTGGCACTCCCCATGAATCTAGATATTTTCTAGATGCATGGGGAACTCCAGGCCCACAGCACTGGATCAGGCAGTGATCCCAGCATGCAGGGCCAGGCAGGAGCAGCACTGGCTCCCAGGACCCAACCCTGGTAGGCGGGGAGCTGGGAGGGGGAGGCACTGGCTCCAGGGCCCAGTCCTGGTGTGGGGAGCCAGGAGGAAGGTGGTCCCAGGCCTCCAGGGACCAATCCCAGAAGAAGCGGGGTGACACCAGGCCCCTGGGGACCAATCCTGGCACACAGGGGTGGGGTGGAGGGGTGGTACTGGGCCTGCCCTAGGGTGCAATTCTGCCACGTGGGGCTCCATCCAGCTCGCAAAACAGCCCCACCCCACGCATCTGGCCCAGAGGGCCAAAAGGTTGAGCACCACTGGTCTGGAGCAAACAGAGAGGATGGGAGCACAGCATTAAGTGGGCTGCCCCCCAGTCCCAGCTGCCCCTTTCTGCTTTTAGGTGTGGAGATGGTGAGACTAGAGGGCATTCCCACTGCAGGCCACTGGCAATGCTGGGGTCACTGGGCTGGGTTCCTTACTAGGGAACCGAAACATAACATCTGGTTGGAATTAGAGGCAGAACTGTAGGAGGAAAAGGCTGCAAGAGCAGGGCCAAGAATGGGAACCAGAGCTCAGACAGAAACACAACACGGGAAGCAACAAGGTCTGCTCAGCACTCGCAGCTCACTGCAGCTTGTCGCTCTCCCACGGTCCTAGCACCTGACCCTGGAGAGGCACTCTCCCACTTCCAGCAGTTAGTATGGTTACAGGGTGCATGGGAGGAGGAGGGAAGGAGAGGGTGGGAGGGGAGATGCTCAGGGGTGATGCCCAAGTGGGACATATTCACAGCAGCAGCAGCTTCTCAGCAGATCTGGGAATGACCAGCTTTGATTCCCCCCAGCTAGAAAGTGCTGGCCCGCTCTGGACCTGCCCAAGCATGCACCACCCACCCATGCCTGACCGGGACCTGCAGTGTAGAAGCCACTCAGCAGTTGCCTGCACCTGCTGCCATCCTCATGACCTCAGCCCTGGGGAGCCCAAGAGCAGCCAAGGGGAGGCAGCCCTGGAGCAGCTTCTCTACCTCACCCCATACCTTCCCTACCTCCCTATCTCAGGTTTGGTGTGTGCGAGTGGGGAGAGGGAGGGCAGAGCTGGGAGTGCAAGGGATACAGAACCAGGATTAGGACTGTGATGGCATCACTGGACCCCTTGTAGACCTGGAGACTTTGCTAGTCTCCTCAGTCTTCCCTTCCTGGAGGGGCAGCACCCAGCAGTGCAATAACATCCATCTGCCGACGGCAGGCAAGGCTCAGCTCTCAGCTGCCAGCTGCACTCACGTTCTGGTCCATGATCTCTGGAATGAACTCCCCCTCGCTGTTAATGCTCGTGTAGGACCCCTGCCGCGCGATCTGCTGCTGCTCCTCGGGCACGCTGCCTGGGGGCGGAGAGCTCCGGCCGGTGTGCAAGGAGCCTGCAAGGCAAAGGTGATGGTGAGGGACAGAAGGAATCGCCCCTGCAAGGTCCTTCCAGGGAGGCTGGGCACAGCCCTTCTGCCTGATCGAGCCGGAGCTGGGTACTACACTTGACCGATCTCAGAGAGAGGGGACGGCGAGAGAGGGGAGACCCTGCGTGTCAGAGCTTCGCTCAGGACTTTGGAGCAGGTGCTGCCTTTGCGCTGTGTGTCTGTATGATGCTGCCCACTTCTCACTTCATCCCATTGCTCTGTGACCCACTCCAACCACCTGCAGCAGTGCTCACGTGCTCCACTGCTTATCACTGTTGTCTGCATCAGCCACACAAATTTAGCTACTTCTTCTCCCCTCAATCCCTCCTTTTCTCCTTGCATTGTTCAGTAATCCCTTACAGACAAGGAGTCAGGCAGTGCTCTACTTCCTTCAGTGCTGGGGCAGGTTATGCCAAGGATCTACATGATCAGCAGGGCCAAATCTGCGTCTCCGACTAGCACAAGTCATTCCAACTAGCTCTTAAGAAAGCTGCTTAAGAGTACAGTTTCCTGCACCCCTGGCTACTTCTGCTGCTCTCACTGGAACTCCCTCCGGTTTGGGTCTCCTGTGCTGCTAACGAGATGCCAAGGGCTAAATGCTGTATTTCAAGAGCAGATTCATAGGAGAGAGCCCACAGCTTCCCCAGCTCACACTGTCTCACAACACACTGTCACTGTAGCTACTATAACACACAGGCCAAATTCACTCTGCTAGTTACCCCAGGCATCTTTGGACTTCCTCCTCCTTCCACTTACACTGATGCAAATCAAGAATTGGTTCACTGATGCGAACAATGCTGCCCCAGATCAAAAAAAACAGGCTCCCTGCACCTATGCTGGAGCAAATTACATTCCAGCGTAAAAGCTGCACTAAGGAAAAAAAAAGAAATTCATCGCCTTTTGCTGCTGATTCCTTCCTTAGACTTTAAAAATAATAATCAGACGGGTTTGGAGTCATTTTTCTTTTTACTCTTTTCCCCTCAGATTTCCTGCAGGATAAGCGCCCTGAGAAAAAAAAATAATCCACATGAACTGATGCCAAGACCAAGGAGAAAAAATGGTCCCACTTGTTACAGCTCTATCGCACTGGCTTCAAACCAGGCTTAACAAGAAAAACAAATGGGAAGTACGCCACCGCTGCTTTCCCCCGACAAAAATCGTTTAACCGCTTCATCGCTCAGTTGCCTAAAATAAACCAGGTCTGCAGGATTACTGTTCACTTATCTCTTTGCACCTGGCAGAGGGTTGTGCTAAGGATGGACACAAAAGCAGCCCCTACCCTGAGAGCAATTAGTGGCTATTTTGCATGTTTGAATTACTGTCTCAGGTGGATTTAGGATTTCTATCACTGAGATGTTACAATACCTCTCACCATTTGCTTTCCAAGAAAACCTTATGTCCCAGTCCCACGGTGATTCATCGGTTCCAAGCTTAACTTTAAAGATAGCAGTAGTCCCCATGGACTGAAACAGGACTGCTCCCAAGTGTAAACCTGCCACAATGGCTGGACAAGGAGTAAACTGGATGGAGAAAGGGCTGTCTAGAGGGACAAAGCTCTGGGAGTAGCTGCCGGGACTTTCCCCATAGTTTTAACACCCACAGACACAGTGCTCAGTGCTCCCATGATGTCCCCCCAGCACTCACCCCGTGCCCCAGTCCATACTCCTGTTTTGCAAAAAGCAGAAGCATTGCAGATGGAGGGACAGCAGGACTTTGTGTGAGGCGTCTGCTCCCCACACGCACCCTTCAGCATGTAGGACGGACCCAGCCCAGCCACCGTTAGCCAAGCCCCGAAGGGGCCCATCACCACCTGTTACAGTCATAAGCGCCAGGTGACAAAGCACCGTGACCAGGACCCTGAGACACCTCATCCTCAGGCATTCAGAGAGATGAGATAACCTTATCCACCCAAGGAGGACTAGAGAGACACCGCTGACACAGCCCAGCGGCACAGGTTGCTCGCCACGGCTCATGCCGAGAGACGGCCAAGGTGGAAGGGGTGGTGCTGGTGTGTTTGCACTAGACCTCTGATGCCTAGGGAAGAGCAGCAATGCCAGGGCCAGAAAGGAGATGCCCAAGGGGAAGGAGCAGGCTCTCAAAGAGCTCGTTCAGGACAGGAGCAGAGCGCCCGGGGCCAGCTGGTGTCAATCAGGACAGCACCGCTGCCATCAAGAGACCTCCAGAGACTTGCCCCAGACACGCGTCTGGCCTCTGGCCCCAATTACTCCTCTGAGCCGAGCTGCTCTGAGCAGAAAGTGGAGTAAGAGCTCTGCGCCGCATTACACACAGCATCATGTAAGGCCATTAGCTCAGGACTAGAGCACAGCATGTCCTGAGCAGGGCCGGCCAAGCCAGCGCAGAGGCCCTGACGGCCACTGCTGGCATTCGCAAGGACTTTTCATGTTCCTTTCCGTTACGTTTCTTAAGCAGCTTTCATCCAGTATGTGCAGAAAGTCCGGGCTGTTGCACGTACAGCCGCATCCCCCCATGCCAGGCTTGGCTTCCCTCGGTCTAAACATTCCTGGCTTCGTTGTCCCGCCTGCTGCAATAGCTCACCCCAGGGCTCTCCCAAAGACTTATCTCCCAGCAACACCCTACCCCTACTGACCAGGGACCAAGATAAGAACGAGGATGCTGCTATGATTTCATGGCTGTAAAGGCTTCATCAGACACTGCCTACGCTCACAGCTGCAGACCCCAGCCAGGGAGGGCTCAGGCCTGGGCTGCTGCTGCTGCTACATAAACCAAGGGACGTTGTGCAAAGACAAGATATTCCTAAGAGTCCCTGGCTGAGGACGCAGCACCAAAGAAGCCAAGGATTTGAGGGATACCAGGTTGTGCCAATGGGACTGTTCATCTGCAAACACCTCCGACTATGAGCTGCCCTTGCGGAGATGCCCCAAGTGCAGGCGGGTTCCCAGGGAACAGCTCTACCTCCTGCTATCCGTGCAGGCCTCTTGTCTCCCTGTGTCGCAGGTCTCCGCACCCTGCACCGATTCTCAGAGGATGCGAGTCTGCTGCATCCCCTGCTGAGTTTTTGTCTATATTAAGTTTGCCACAAAACTCAGGTCCTTCTGGTAACACTGTGGGTGGATCCACACTTGCAACTAGCTGGGGAGTGACAAAAGGGTCCTACTACCACCGAGGGGCACCAGAAAGAGAGTAGTCGCACCCACACTGTATCTGTCTATATAACATCTATATTTGGCTGCTTGTGGTTCCTGGATAAGCAAGAACGTCGTCTTTCAGGGAGCTCTCTGAAATCCTGCATGCTCCAAAGGGGATATGGCATGGCTAGGAGATGGCCAGGACCCTACAGTCCTGCCTGACATGTATACCAAGGCAGACACTAGGTACGATATAAGCCCCTGCATTCACCTGAACCAGCTCTTTGCAAGCAGAGTGCCTGTAGCCAGAGTGGCCTGGCTTTACAGTCCCTCTCAGGCATGGGGGGCTTTAAAAAGCTGCTCGACACTGGAAAGTGACTGCAGAAAAATTAGGGCTGGGTGAAAATTTCCCATCAAAATTCATGACATGCACAAGGGAAGGGAAAAAAAAAACCAGCTTTGATTCCCAGAAGTCAGGTTGAGTCTGCAAAAAAAAGAATAAAAAAAATTCTTATCATTTTGCTCATAGGCTGAGCAATTTCCTTGAATGCAAAATCACTGGGGGAAATGGCACGAAGCTGCCATTTTTAAAACCACTTTCCAGAGCATTAAAAAAATATGCGGATTAGAAAAGGCAGAGCTGAGATTTCCACTCAGCCAAACGGGTTTAGATTAATGGGGATCAACCTTCTGCACCCCGGGGTGAAGAAGAAATAACCCAACTCAAGAGACAACCACCCAGGCTGGCAGGTGGCCATAGCACGGGGCTGGGCAGCACCCCTTCCCTTAGGGAAACCACCGTGGGGTTATCCATGACCACATGTAGCTTGCACAGTGGCTGAAAAAAATGGCCTCACCATCAGCTCAGTGACACCTACCAGCCCCCTGGACTGTCCGGTCGCCACGCCACCCAGTGCCGACAGGGAAGGAAAAAGAGCCTTCTGTATTACTATTGCCCCTAAGGAAAACCCAGGTGCGGTGGCAAGAGGATTCTCCATAAGTGAGCTGGAAAACTCAGAACAGAGGACAATATGACCTCAAAATTAAGATATGGGACCAGAACTGAGAAAAACTGAGTTCAGCTCCCAGCTCTTCCATGGAGTGCCTCATTCCTTATCCTTGAAGGGCGGATGGCACTTCCTTTGTCTTTGCTGTCTATTTAGCCCTCACCTTCCAGGGTGAACGTGGGTCTCTTGCCAAGTATTCCTACAGGGCTGAACCCAAAAGAAGTCCAGTTCTGGCTGGGGACTCTATAGAAACATGCACGTGTTTTACAGCATAATAAAACCCTAATTCAGCACAGCCACAAGTCTAAGCGAGTGCCCCACCTCACATGAACCCAAAATAATCTGATCTCACCCCATCCGCCACTACATACGTAAACAATTCTGCCATTCACACGCACACATTAACTCCCCATGCCATTACTGGCATTCGACTGCTGGCCTGTATTCACGGCGTAACATAGCTCAAGAGGAGCATTAGAGATGTTTTTCTGGCCAAGCCCAGTTTCTACTGAGGCTCTGTGCAATAACATGTATTTGTGTGTGCTCTTCATTCATAATTATCCAGGGGCTCTGCCAGGCTCTGGGCAAGCTCTCAAGAGCAGCATGAGCTAAATGAAAACAATGGGAAAAAAGAAAGAAACCTGGCAAATAAAAACCACAAAGCTAAACAGCACTCTTGTATACATAAAGGCAGCTCTTCTGATTTTGGTGGGAGGCAGGCATGGCTGTCCTAGGGCAGAATTTCACTTAACGTAGGAGAATATGCAGTATATATTCTATACTGGCATGGCTGCACATATTGTGGGTGAGAGAAACAGCAAATCCACAGGAAGACACACCTCTCTGTTGTAGTCTCCACTTACGGAAAAATCCTGTAGCGTGCATACTACGGCCAGCTGTTTGGAACAGGGCCTGTGGCCATGTGTACCCCACCTCCATGCCACTCCTGGGAGCACCACAGTGAAGCATGCCTCACCCACTCAGCATATGCGTGAAAACGAGGCCTCAGAGCAGCACTGAGCATCTACTCAGAGACATCCATAAGCTCGCTCTCTGTCTTTGTGTGTGTGTGTGTGTGTGTGTGTGTGTGTGTGTGTAATGTCAAGCCCACTGTCCCTGACCAGACAGAGACCTCAGGCAGAGCCAGTCCACCTATATGAAATAATCTAGGTTAAAGCAACACAGGTCCTTTGAAATGATGCTATTCAAAATCCACAGAATGCAGTACAGGACAGTCTCTTTTGTACAGACCATGCGATCCAGCCGCAAAGCGTAACCGAGAAGTACCTACCTGGAATGGTATTCCTTGTCGGCTTGCTAGCCTTGTAAAAGTATACCTGCCTCTTAAATTCTACAGGATTTTTCTGTAAAGGTCTCATTAACACTAACAGACCAAGAAGACTCTAGTAAAAGCATTTTTCACCCAGCGATCTCAAAGCACTTCACACGGAGGCAGGAAATCCTCATGTCACAAACAAGGAAAACCAAGGCAAAGGCAGAGGAAGGGACTTGCCCAAAGCCAGGCAAGGAAGTGACAGAAACTGAACAGGCACAGGCCAACAGAAACCATCCAAGTAGACTGAGGGCCAGAAGTGCTGGCACCTCTTTTCCCCAGAATGAGACCTGGACAATAACTGCATGGAGCCGTGGGTGGACTGGCCAGCTGTGGAGGGGACATTCATGGAGACACAGCACTACAGGGGACAAGTTGGGAATGGGACTCAGGCAGTTCTGGCAAACCCAGGGACATCCCATTTCACTGACCTGTTGAATACTTCCGCGTCCTCTCGCCGTCCTTATACAAAGATCCCATGATGTCTCCCATGGACTTGGAGATTCTCATTTCATGCTGCTTACTGTTGTTGGGCTGTAGGAACTAGAAAGCAGACAAAAGCCGTCAGAGAGGTGGTTTGAGCCATTCCTGGTGCCCCCATGAAACGGATCACATCTGGAGCCCATCGCCATGTGATGTGGGGCCAAGGAGGCTGAAGTGGAACCTTTCATGATCCAGAGCATGGAGAGGCTGATAAATATGATTCAAGTGCTGCAGGGAAGGGAAATGGTACCTCAACTAGCAAGGATAGTAAATCAGACTTCTTGGTTCTGGATGCAACCTATTTGGTTGGTTTCAAATAGAAGAGGAGGAGAAGCCGGCTGCGCCCTAAGGAGTTTACACTCTAAGGCCCTGCTTTTGCAATCTGACTTGTGTCCCCTGCAAGCCCCATGGCCCTCAGTGCAACTCTATGCAGCTTAAAGGATTCATCCACGTTGATTAGACTATGGAACTGGGGCCGGAGAGGAAACCTAGACTGGTGAAGCGGGAGGTGGAGGGAAAAGGAACAGCAAATCCCTGGTGGTAAGTGCCAAGGGCGTATGGTGATAAATGCTATGCCCCAGTACATCATAGCTCTGCTGGGGCACAGATTGCCCTCAAGAACCCATGCCCTGGCCAAGCAGCTGGATCAAGCAAGGCACATCTGTACAGTACAAGGGGAAGCCTATTCTGTTCTCTGGTCAGAGTATCACCCTCTCCCTAGACACTGGAGCAAGAGCTAATGGCCACCCCAGTTTCCTATGGGACCCCACGTGAACCTCCAACCTGCAACCACTTTGCAGCAGTGACTACTGCTACTGCAATGCTCCTGCAATCACCAGGAACCGCTAGAGGCTGCCTGAGTGGAGGCAACCTGGAGCAGCGTGAGGAAGCCCAGGACAACACTTGGGAGAGCCAGCTTCCTGCTCCGGTCTCTGCACAGTGTTAAGAATTTCCCACCGCTGCAGATCACCCTTAACACCCACTAAAGTCAGTGGGAACCAAGGACACTCAGCACCACTTCAGGTTGGGATCTGATGTGGAATAAACTGCCACTGTTGCACTGGCTGCCTCGCTGCCCCTTGATGCACCGCCCAGGGTACAAGCTCACAGCCACTCAGCACATACCTTGGCAAAAGCAGCATGCAGATCTATGGAGCCGCGCAGCTATTCCTTTGCAGGGTACCCAGCATGGGTTAGTCGTGCTTAACATGCTTAATTGCAATGCCACAGAGCTCAGGGCAGGGAAGCAGGGGGTGCAAAGGGGCTACACAGCCTGGGATGCTGCCAACTACTCCACTCTCAGCCTCTTCTTGTAGGGTATAAGTACTCCATGGTCTCTGAACAGATCATGTCCTTTGCCACCCCCCTGCAAAAGCAAGGATGCTGACTATGTAGGTCACCATTACTACAAGGATAGCCCATTACGAGTCATGATGTCCCTTAGCAAGATGCTAGGCTGTGGGGTTTCACACAAGTCCCCTGGAGGACGCACCCCTTGCAGGATTATACACATCCCTGTTGGTCTTGCAGATCTCTAAAAGCACCTGGCACTTTAGCAATCCATTCCCAGATCACAGACAGACAGTGCTGGAATAGACCCAACCGCTGTTACAGCAAACAGGGCTGCTGGCAGCAAGGAGTCCAGATCAGAGGCTTACGGGCAGAAGACGGCCAGCTTGGAGCGGACACCCCCCGGGCAGGTTCCCCCTCTGCTCCGTGCTGTTAGAAGCCTCTTGTTCCCACTCCCCCCACCCCTGCACCTCCAATAACATTGCATCTTGCTCCATGCGCGCGAGGACACAAGGCAAAGGGCTCACGCTCGTTTTCTTTGGCGCCTTCACAAAGATCCGCAAGCTTTTCAGAGAGGGGCTCAGGTCCAAGTGTTCCACCGCTCTGTCCAAGTCTTCCTGGGATTTCAGCGGGATCAGGAGCTGGAAGGATTGAACAAACGCCCAAGGACAGCAATGTCACACACTAGGAAAGCAAAGGGAGCCAAAACCTGCCCTCCAAGCACAGAAGGTCCAGGAATTCTGGGGCAGGGCGAGGCATCTCCACATCTGGATGGAAAACAAAACCCCAGTGCCCCTGTGCTTTCAGGGCCCTGACCTCTTCTTCCAAGATCTCATCTGCAGAAAAAGAGACAGAGCTTGCAACAACAACGCTTGCAAAAGACCCAAGAGAGCGCATGAAGGCTGCTTCGGTGACCAAGTCAGTAGGAAGACTCTCAGAGCTGAGGACAAGCCTTGTGCTCCATCAACAGCTCCACGTACTCAGAGTCAGAAGCCACCTGCCCTTATGGCCGTTGATGGCTTTTGGGGCTGGTTATTTCTCCAAATCCTCATGATGGTGCTGCCGAGGCCCGCACCCAAGTCCGCTGTGCATGTTCGTACCTGCCACAGGGCTTGGGCTGTTTGTGCGGTCTGTGCAATCTGCAGCAGGGAATTTCAGGCAGCAGTGCTAAAACAGCTGCCCTAGCACACCCCCTCTAAAGCAGGCTGCCACAGCTGATATAAGCTGTAATATGCACCTCTGCTGTGTACCCTGGTCTAGCACAAACCCAGGCAACAGTATCTTAGTCTGTCTGCTCTAAGGCAGCCACCTTCTTCATATGGGCAACAAGGTGCCAAATCAAGGAAAAGGCCACATGTAGAAGTGGATTAGCCCCCAAATGCAGAACAAATTCCCACCTAAAGCCACAGATTCAAATCCCAGCAAGGTTCTGTGTCCTTCAGAGGTAAAGAAACTGAGGTTGCTGTGATCCAGGCAAAGTCCTATCTGGATGACTGTGGAGCTTCCTTTTTAAGGACAGGGCTTTAGCCTAGTGCCTTTGCCCAAAATTCGCTCTTTATTGCAAATTGTTTTCTTCCTTGCAATGCCTAAGGCAGCTGCATTACAAAGGTGCTACATGACAGATTAATACTGTAGTCTGTTGCCAGAGGCAAAGAAAGACCACACTTGTATTTTGCCCCATACACAGCATGATCCCCCTAAGGTTATAAAGCCAGGCATCAACCTTCTCTCTGGCAGCCTAGTGCCAAGTTCAGCCACCAGGCCACAATTTGCATTTGTGCATGTGCTAACCATGTGCTGGTATGCAGCAGTTCAGCCGGCCAGGGGACAACGAGTATCCAGAGCTCCCAGTAATTTCCCCACTGGCTTTAATAGGAGCTGCCCGGCACTTCTGATAGATAAATCCAACAATCCATGCGCTCAGAGTTTGCATTGCTGGACACAGCCAAAACACACTACTGCGTCAGATGAAAACCCGCACAGGAAGACATTATGAACAGCCACCTCTATCTCTCTCCATCACGGGATGCTGCTGCTTGTGAACTGCTGCCAGGGGGTTTGGCTGTCGGCCCATAGGTAAATACATGGCAGACTGTGTGCATCGTGTCCAGGGTTTCAGGGATGAAAGGCACAGGAGTGCAGCCAGGTGAACAAGAGGCTGTAGGCACCGGCCAGCTCAGATGAGACCTCAGCCTGGGAATCTGCTACAGAGCTGTTCCAGCTGCCTTACTATATAAGTGTGCATCTGGGGAGCCTCTAGCATGAGAGCCTCTCATAGTTCATAGTGCCTTTATCTGCACTGTGCAATAAGGCAGTGCTCTTACTCCCATTTTGCAGAAAGAGGACTGAAGCACAGAGAAGTTAAGGGCCAAATGCATACAGGAACTAGGGCAATGCAATGCATAACCCTTAATTAGCAGTGCCTAGTGGAATTCACAGGCCTGAGTTTGGTGCCTGGGCTCCGCTCCCCATGTAGTGTCAGCGGAAAGTTGCACAGCTTAAAATGAGACTGCCCACACGTCAGCAAGCTCAACAAGGAGCCATTAAAGCTATCCTTTAGGAAACACAAGGAGAGGAATGGGATGTCAGCTCCAGCCCACAAAGGCTGTTGGGTACCTAAGTGTAGACTGGATGGAGGCACCTATCTCTATCCATGATCCTCAGGTACAGATCTGCTCCTGGACATAGGCAGCTGAACCTGGTCAGTGCTTTTCCATGGGCAACCCTGCTGCCCAGCATGAGAGACAGAGACAGATTGACCCCACAACCCAGCGGCTTGGGCACTCCGCTAGGATGAGGGGACTCAGGTGGCTTGTCCATGCTCCAAGGAGCACTGCAGAAACGGAAACAGTGCCTGCAGGTGTCCCGGGCTGGTCTCCAGAGACCCTGCCCACCCCAATGCCCCCAGCGGTAGGTGCGGGGTGGACAAGCCGGGATGCCCAGGCAGCAAGGCCAAGTCTGGCAGCAGTGGCACTGGCAGTAGCAGCCAGAGGGAGCCACCACTGCTGGGGCTGCCAGGAAGTGGAGTCTGGCTGCTGCACTGCCCCAACCCCACTGCATAATACCCTGGGGCAGCGGTACCGGGCACATGCACCCTAGCCTGGGATGCCCCTCATGCCTGGGCCAGACAGGGCTGAGGGATCCACTGTGGGCCAGTTAAAATCTCTTGGCAGGCCAGATTTGACCTGTGGACCAGATTTTGCCCACCTCTGCCCCATAGGGTACTATGTCTTGGGTTTTGTGTCAGGGTTGACGGTAGATTTATGAAGAGTTTACATTATGGGTTTGTATAGGATGGTTTGGATGGGGATATTCCTGCCACGGGGCTTGGACTAGATGACCTCTGGAGATCCCTTCCAGCCCAACTTCTGTAGGAGTCAAAGACTCTAGGATACCCTAGCAAGGGGCGCCCGTCCTGGTGGGATCTTGCCTGGAGAAGGACACTTTCCTGATATGCTGCTTAACCCTACTAAGTCAGCAGAGCTCCACATGTACAGCAGACAGAGAAAGCTAACCCAAGTGCTCCCATCACTGAAAATCCTGGTAAGAAATTGGGCCAAATCCTGCCTTCACTTGGATGGAGATAAGTCCTACTCATTGCATGGCAGAAGCAGGCAGCAGAGTGTCTCCTTTACGATGCTTGTTACTGCTTCTTTCTAAAGCCTACAGGCCCGCTCTGTCCTTAGATGTCCTCTGGTTGTGTCCAAGAATGCAATCTGGCTTTGGACTTTTGGGGTATTTCCACAGTCCCCATCCCTGCTCCTCCGCTTACCCAGCTCCTCACAAGTCTTCCAAATGGCACTTGCTCTGCTCGTGCTTTGAACAAAATGTTCTGCAGGTCACTTTGTCTCGCTCCAGTATCACAACATGAATACACTTACAGGCTTGCTCGGCAAAGCCAAGAACGTCGGGCAGAAATTGCCCTCTTCTAGGATGGAATCGGGCCAGTGTTTAGCTTGGCTTTGCCTATTCCTCATGTCTGGCAAGCAGATTTTGCTCCATTTGGCATCCAGGCTGCTGTGTACAGGGAGACTGGGAACTGAGTCCTACTAGACACTTAACTAAATATAGACACCGGCACAACCTTGGAGTTAACTGGCAGGTTGTGCTCAAAGTAACTGGGCTGCATCTTAGCCTCTCCCATGAGTTTCTTCTCTCTATAAACTTAGCAGCTATGACAGCAACCTGAGGTGCCCACATCAGCAAGGGAGGGAGCACTTGCAGAGGATGTACGGGAGCCGGTAGCCAATGCACCAAGACTTACACAAATATAAATGCAAAGGTAAAACTGGCAAGATTCTTCAGATATGTAGTATATGGAATATTTATATATAAGCATGCTCCTGTAACACCTGGGGACTGCACTGAGTACAGTGTTGTGTAAACACATAATGAGACTCACCCCAGCTTATATAGCTGAAACGCACAAAGACAGATCAAAAAAGGGGAGCAGAGGCACAGCGAGGGGAGGTGACTTGCCCAATCTCATGCACCATGTCAGTGGTGGAGCCAGCAACACAGTCCAGAGATTTCAGGGGGAATTCAAAGGGGATAGTCCAGTGGTTCCCAACCAGGATGCCATGGCTGGATACCACACAACATTAGCACAGTTAAGCATGCAAATGTGATTCACAAGATAAACTCAGAGGTTTCAAATAAGAATCCAGTGTTAAAAACAATTCTGAGCTCTTGTGCTCTTTCCAAGTTCTTTGCAACAGAAGAATGGCTGCATTATCTTTATCCAGTCAAAAATTGAGTGAAACTACGAGACTGCATTTTCCAAGGGGTGCCTCACGTCTATCAAGGGGTGCCTTGAGTCTAAAAAGGGATCGTCTCCCCAGAGCTGATGTGCATGTGGGATTGCCAAGGCTCTGTAGTGTGGGAAGGTCCAGCTCAGATGAGAGGGATACCCAAAGTCTCTTGACTGTCTAAAGTCATTAACTGGCAATTTTTACCGGGAGGAAAAACAGGCAAAATGCTGACCCCCATCACTCCAAATTTACACAGATGGAGGTGGAATTACATACACTACATTTACACCAATGTAACTGAGAACAGAATTTGGCACAGAAGACATCATTAGCCTACAGATGACGTGCCATTATCAGGACTTGTAGATGCCTTCCCTCAAGGCTGGCTCCATCTATAAAGACTGCTTTCATGATAAAGCTGTCAGGTAAATTGCTGCTCATACAAGAGCTGCCAATTCTCACAAGGAGAAAACACTGATGGACAGAAAACCCCCCCAACTAAAGCTAAACTCAACCAAACTATCACCATAATTAGCAGCCAACTTCAGATTGGGTTAAGTGCTATACAAATGTATAAGGAGACAATGCCCAGCAGAGGGCAAAGCCCATGATGTAAGAGTTGTATTTGTTGGTGGCAAAAAATCTTTCAATGGAAAGAAGCCTGGGATGAAGTGACTCACTCCTGGAGAATCCCGTGCAGGAGACCATCAGAAAACACTTGAAATTAGAAAATGTACAACATTTCTGACCACGTCCAATGCCACAGCCTAGGAGATTGTTTGACATGGCGTGAGAAGCAGATTAGGAGTAACAGCACAGTCTTTTGATTGGTCTGAATCTCAAGTGACACCCAGCTCCAAGCACTAATACAGTGCAGCTACCTTGGAGCAGTGCTGAGCCTGTACCACCACACACCCAGGACAGGGAGCTTATAAGCATATGCCCAGCCCTATTCCAGGGTGGCTGTGTTGTCTGCATTTCAGGGTGCAGTGTACAAGGAACAAATGTGCCTCGTGCTGAAGAGCAGGATAGTGAGGTTCATCACATAGGAAAGAAAGACAGGGCAATGCAAGCATGTTGTGGAACTGGCAAGCTCCTTCACAGATATCAGAGAGTAGGGCTGGAAGGCACTTCCAGAGGTCACTAGTCCACCCCCCTGCCCGAGACAGGATCACCCCTATCCCATACCAAGCCACTGTCCAGCCTCTTAGCAAAACTACACAGTCAATCCTGACACAGCCCCAGACATAACACCCAAACCTGCCACAGGTAAAGCAAGGGGACCGCAGCAGCCAACGTAGGAAGGGTTTGTGTCTGCATGTTCTCTTGCCAAATAGAAAGGTGAAGGATAACTAGCTGCATGATGTGGGCTGGCTACCCAACCACTTAGTACCTCGTTGTTGGCATAGTGCAGATCCATCATCTGTCCAAAAGCATCCATGACTTTCTGCAGCACTTCTTTGAATCTGACTGGTCTTGGAAACTGGATAATCCTAAGCACACAGAACAGAAATAAGGGTAGAGGTGTCACTTGGATAAACCTGTGCTGTGGAAGTAGATTAGCCTCAGCCTGGTGGAGCAGGGACCTACTCTCCAATGTCATGACATACCCTATTCATCAATAACGATCAATAATTATGGGGCAGATCGTGGCAGGGAGGCTACAAGCAACTTCCCCTCGTCCACACAACAGCTCCAACATGGATGGCGAACTCAGGCCCAGGTCCTTGCGGGTACCGTTCCCCCAGGGGCTGGGGGCTTGTTCCATCCAGAAGGAAGCATGGTCGTCTCTCAGATCATGCCCCAAGGCTCACAGCACAGCCCCTCTGTCCTCAATAGGGTACAAAGATTCCCTTCCAAGGCAGAACTGAGGTCCAACAGCATGTCCTTGAGATCAGGCAGCAGACCCACAGACCACACCTGGGCCAGTTTCCCTTGTGATTTGTCATTTCATGGGTTACAGAATGGCAATGAATAGCAAACTAAAGATGGCTTGATTTGCTAGGGCAACTCTCCTATGCCCTCAGATGCAGGGTCCCATGGGTTTCAGTAGGAGCTGCAGGTGTGCAAGCATACAGGATCCAGCCCTGTGCTGTGTGCATTGTGTTATCCTCTACTGAGTGCATTAGCCATTGTGACCATCCGCCTGAAACCCCTTCTGTCCAAGGCAACCTGCCCAGCCAGGCCCTGAACCCTGCCACGAGCAGAGATCCTTCCCTGTAAATGTCAAGTTGGGAAGGGCGGACGGGCTTCGAATAGCAGCTCTGTTATTATGGGACCCATGCCCAAAATCTACTTATCTTGAATAACTGTCACAGGCTGCTAATCAAAGAACACTCTTCAGTAGGAGATTCAATGCCCAACTATGGTTCAATAGGCTGCAGAAATAAAGGTAAAAGTGGAAAGAAGAATCCAACCACATCCAATCATGGGGCATTTAATGGATTCCAGTTTGGAAATCAATTCCCTGGGCACAAAGGAGATTTGTAGCTACTGGGCAGGCCTTGCGAAGGGGAGCTCTCCTCACAGGGCTTCTGCATGCAGGGCTGGATAGAAAGGTGCAGACAGGTGGCCCCAGGTGCAAAGCAGAGTCGCATTAGTGTCATGAGGGCAGGCACGCACCTTTTCTCCCCGTCATATTCAAACTTGAGCCTGGCATTGCGCTGCTGAAAGAGAGAAGACAGTTAATAACCAAGTTCCTTTACACTGGGCTGGCAGGGTCTGATTCAAAGCCCTGCACAACTATCAAAAAGATGCCCACTAACTTCGGTGAGACCCTGTTGAGGGCCCACTGCCTTCAGATGGACCCAAGGATGGATTATACCATGGGAGCCCCAGGCTGCTTCCTTCCTTGAACACAGGAACACCCCAAATCTGGTAAAAATCATCTTGTCTATCAATAAAAGGAACTGGCTTTTAAGTCTGCATAACTGACAGGTTTGGTATGATACGTTTGCTCAGGCTCTGCTGGGTAACATCTTCCAAAATCACCCAGGAGCCAAAGGCCTATTTTCCAGGTGGGACAAGCATTTAGCAACTTAAGTTGGACTGGACTTGAGGGCTTTGGATCATCTTTCCCATTGTTGATTTCTGAGTAGGAGATCCCAGAACCTGTCCTACGCTCCTGGGGGCATCAACAGGGTGTTAAGCAGCACACAGCGAGAGTTTAGGTAGGGATACCAAGTATTGCATTCAAGACTGCCAAGGACCTGAACTTGTTAAATCTGCTCCAGCCTAAGTTAGGGTGCCAGCTTTCACTAATTATCATCATTCAGTTTTTATTATGTTAGGACCTACAGAATCGAAACAAGGTCAGGAACCTGGTTGCGTTCACACTGTACAGACACGCACAGGACCTGGTCTTCCACCTTAAAAATGCTATCTGAATTACATGGAGATGCCTCAGCTGAGATCCAGAACTCACTTGTACAAAGACCTCAGGCCTCTGCCACACATTACACTTGTGACACGATTACCCAATCACACTTTAAAGCAATTAAGTGCATCATAAAACAATAAACCATAACGTTATCCACAAAAAATGCATAACAACTTGGTCGCTGGTTCCTATTATGCCTATCAAGCACCTCTGAGGTTGGGAGCCCGCAGCTGCCAATAAGGTGCAAGGGGATCTGACGCTCAGTCCCACAATCACACCTCCTGCCATGCACGTGTGTAAGGGAGGAAGAGCACTGCACGGATCATGCATCAGATCCCATCCTGCCTTTACCCGCGGGTCTGGTAGGGGTGTCAGAGACATCCCTTCTTCCTCCTCTCCACATATTGGAAAAATAGACAAAGCAGGTAGAGGCTGCAAGAAAGCTGTTATCATTCCCAAGTGGGGAAGCACGACATACGAAGACTAAGAAATTTGTGGTCTGGGGCAGGACCTAGACCCAAAACCAGGGCAGGGGCAAAAACACAAGGGTGTCCTGCCTCACCCTTACAGCCTGCTGTATGCAGAACTAGTTAGCTGCTTTTAGCTGTAGTCCTGCTCTCTCTCACTTCATCTGTATTAAACCAATGAGGGTTTTTTGTTTTCTTTTAAAGAGAAGCTCCAAATGCACTGCCCACCTTAGCTGGAGCAGCAGGGCTGCACCGCCAAGGCAGAATCAGCCTCACACTCCCTGCATCTGAACGGGACAACTCCTGAATGGGTGGGTGACACCACTTCCTGAGAGTGCTCCTTATCACTAACCCTGCATTTCCAGAGCCTGAAGGCACAGTTTCCATACTCTCACCCTTTTGAAGGCAGGCAGAGCTAAAATGACATTGTCTCTAATGGGGAATATGACCTGCCTGGTCTTTGGGATTATTTTTAAAGGGCCAGATCTCCAAGTACTGCAACATCTACTGAATTCAAGGCATGCCACCCTAAAAGCTATGTGCATCAAGAGCTGAAGAAAGCAAGAACGAGCTTAGGGGGGTTCAGTTAAGAGTAGTAAATCTCCTCACTTGGCCAGAACCCACTATACTTAGTGCATCAGGATAAAAGGGTATTATTTCCAGTTTTGAGCTTGGACCTGAAGTGCCAAAATACCTGGAGAATCTCTCTCTGCCTGATATACACAGTGGGCGCATCTACGCGTGCATCGTTACTGTGCAGTACCTACAGCAACTTACTCCAACCTGGGCATAAATTTGCTACCTGCATGATGCAGGTACCAATTTACACCCGAGTAGTTACTGCACAGTAAGGCACGTGTAGACGTGCAGTAACCCTGTTTAGTCCCAAGTCAGTCCACACACAGAATTACTATGCTGTAATGCCTGCACGTGTAGACGCCGTTGTAAAAGACACTTAATATGCAGTAAATTACTGTAAAGTAAATGCATGTGTAGACATTCCCAGTGTGCCCAGCCAGGACTAGAAGGAGAAAGGTGAAAGATCATGAAAAGGGATGCTCCCAGGAGAATCATTGAGGTACCTGAAGCCAGTTTTTCCAGATCCAAAAGCACTGGAATATGTCTAATCAGCACCCTAATTACAATCAGACCCCAAAATCCTGACCTGGCTTTCAAACATCTGGAAGTTCAAAGGGAGGAGGGTGATTGTTTCTGACCCAACATTTTGGGTTGCAAATATTGTAGAGAGCAGCCCACAACAAAATGTGAGTGCAAAATATGCAGCCCTTGAGCTTGGGGAGATGTTTGCCTGTGAAGAGCGAGGGCAGGCCAGGATCACTCCTAATCTGAACGTCTGCATGCTCTGGAGGCCTGACCTCAAATGTCTAGGTGAAATACCCAGATCCTCTCATTGCTGCTGATAAAACTCAGGATTCGGTACCTGGAATCACAGAAGAGCAGGGCTGGAAGGGACCTGGAGGTCATCTAGTCTGACCCCACACTCAAGGCAGGATCTGCCCCATCTAAGCCAGCCTAGGCAAGTGTCTGTCTAACTGCTCTCAGAAACAATCACAGGTGGAGATTGCACCAACTCTCTGGGCAAAAGTTCTTCCAAACGTCCAACTTAAAATATCTCCAGCTGCGATTTACCTGGCAGTCAGTGGACTCAGTGTACACACGAGAAGGAAACCAGGGCAAGGATCTCTTGAGGTTCATGCCTGCTCGGGAGCAAGACAAACAAAAAAAATGGAGCTTGGCTCAGAAAACCTTGCGTGCTCAAAGGCATCGCTGAACTGGGGTCTCCAACTCAATGCCGTTTTATGCTAATCAAAACAGCTTCTCGGACAAGCACGTTTCAAAACAGCTTGTTGCTGGAAAAATGTCACAACACTAGTAACAACTCCGGAGAGGAAAAAACCTGCTGCATCCTTTTCTTCTGCATCAACAACCCGGCCGATCTTCTTTGGCATATGGCCAACCCAAATACGCCAGCTGCCCCATATAACTGTGCTCCACTTGCAAGGAGAAAAACAAACAAGCGGGATGCATGGCGGCAGGGGGGGGACTTCATTTATCTAGAGAGGTTTTTGGACAGGCCAATATAAAAAGCACCAAAATAAGCTAGGCTTTTAAAATACATGAGCTGGGAGAGGCACAATAAAGAGAGCAGCAATGTGCTCACGATGCAGTTTGGAAATCTTCTCTCATTTTATGCGTTATCAAATCTGCAGCTAATAGCGTTTACATTCATGATAGTCTCAACTTTGCTCAGTACTCTCAACTTCTCCTGTACATCACCACCACTGAGTTTTGGTGGTGTCTCAAAGTCCCAGCCAAGACCAGGGTCCCAACTGGGGCGGAGCGGGTATGGTGGGCAGTGTGTGTGCCCCCCTCCTCCCCATGGTGCACAGTCCCTGCCAGTGGCGGCAGCAGCAGCAGGAGGGAGTGGGCCCTCGGGGTGCTCATGGTCCATGCAGGTGGACCCCCGCGGCGGTGCACGGCTCCAGCCAGCTCGGGAAGCTGCATGTGGCAGCAGGGAGCAAGGCCAGGCTGGCCCAGTTTCATCGTGCAGCTCATGGGGTGGGGGGGGCTTTTCCGAGGGGTGCCTCGAGTCTAAAAAGGTTGAGAACCACTGGGCTAGGGGTTAATGCAATCACCCAAAAAGCAGAAAACCTACGTTTGAGGCCCTACTTAGTCTCACCGGGCTGTAGTAAAAGATCTAGTTGTGAGAGGCCTAAGGTCACACCAGAAATCTGTGGCAGAGGAAGGGCTGTCCCTCTTGTTCTGGATTCGAACCGTGGCCGCTTGACCACCCTCCCTCCAGACCTCACTCCCAGTCTTAGACAAGTCACATCTCTGGCAGGGATTTAAAACACAGCTTTGATGTCATGCGGGCAAGCCCCAAACTTCCTGCTCAACGTCTAGGCTGGGGCTGGTAAGGCTCTGATCTTGGAGGTCACCCCTTGCCCCAACCTTAATGCAAACAGCATCTACATTAAAAAAGGCCCTGGCAGGCACAGCGCTCCCTCGCTTTCTGTCTGAATGTCTCCTCCAAGGCATTTGGACTGCAGTTTCCCCGTGGCCTAGTTACCCAATGGCCTCTAAAATGTCACTCGTTACCTTCCAAGCTTAAAAAGGAAAAAGAAAGAGATATACACGCAAAGCCACTCCGGTGACCGCAAGCCTGTCATGGTCTTTCCAAGTTTTTTTTTTTCCTTCCTACTTTTTAGCTCCTTCCTTAAAAATTCTATTTAAAGGAAGAGCGGTCCGAAACCTCAAGGTTTCAAAGGAAAAAAGGGTTGGCATGAACGTAGCTTCAACCCGCAGCAAGTTCGAAGCAAAAATGGGAACAAAAAAAATCAGCAAAAGCCAAAGAGATCTCAGTCCCCACAACTCATACGGCCGGCTTGGAGGAAAGGAACCGGCTGCTTCTGCCTAGAACTTGTTCTGCCGATGGGGTCACACCCTCCGGATATGGCCAAAACGGGGCTGCGCTGCCCTCTTCCCCAACTCCTCCTTTCCCAGTGGAGCTGGGGGAGAAACAGCAGCGCTCGCTGGTTTAGATTAGACGCGTTGGAAAATGGAAAAAGTGCTTCCAAACGAGGTGAATCATGATCTTGTGCAGAGCTCCCTGAAGAGCACACTGCTGTTTGTAATAAAAAGCACACATACACACACACACACACACCAGCCTGGGATGGAAAGAGCCGAGGGAGACAGGCAAGGGGCATATAGACCCGGCTGGGAGGTGCTGGGAAGCAAGTCACCTTTGGGGCACACATCCGAAAAGCATGCAAAAGGAAAGAAGTGCAGGGTCTAA